TTGTTTACGTTTTCTTTTTAAAAATAAAATATTCTTTTTTAATGATTCTGTGAATTCATAAAAAAAGATGAATAAAACAAAACAAAAAAAATCCTAACCTACGAAAATTTTCATTTATATGAATAATATAATTCATTTTAATACAACTTTCATTAAAATCTTCATCAAGTTGATTATCATTTATTTCAAAACATGTAATTAATTTACTTTTCAATAAACTATAAAGAACTTGAAAGTTCATTAAATAGAAGTCAAATAGCCATTTGATATATTGATACCTTTTGGATTTCAAAATAATAATAAAATTTTTTTTTCAAATCAATGTTTACATGTAGCATATATTTTTTGTTAGTGTACAATATTTGTAAATGTCATTTGGAGTGTTGATGAAGCCATAACAATTTACGTACATTATGTTGTTCTATATAAAACTTCGTGAAACTATCAAATGTTTTTTTAAGCTAAAAAAGTAGGATAGCAGAGATAATAGGGAAAAAAATAAACATTACTTCAATTGGTATTATTCCCTTTTCTGAAAGAAAGGGTTATAGGCTCGTTAAAAATGGTTAAAGTTTGTTTGTCCAAGCCAATCAGATTTCATCAAGCTACGGTTTGGCCCAGGAAGGTTATTTTGGGTGCGGGCTTCGACCATTAAGGGTTATTTGACATTGCGGTTCCAACCAAAAGAATCTCAACAGGAGGGAGGATTTTAGTCAATCAGATTTCTTCAAACCGTAACTTGGCCCAGCAAGGTTGTTTTGGGTCCGGAGGTTTCTGCTACTGTCCTGAGTAATTGATTCCCATATTGAAAACTAAACGCGGATAATACGCGAAAATTTTAAATGGTAGGTTATCTTTCTTCCTTTTTAGCTTCATTTGCAGAGAAGATAAAATTATTTGATCAGTGTTATATCTACTGTGTGCTACTGGTTATTACGATTTCCGTTGTTTCGCCTTATACGAATTATTATGCTTCTGAAAATAGGTTATCCAATTCGTTTTCTTTTTATTACATTCATTTCTTGTTTAGTTCGATGTCATTTACTTTGATTTTCTTTTCATTTTATTCAAAACTATGTGATTGTGTCAATATTCTGTTCTGATTATTTCAGATTTTGGAATGCGTTTGGAACTGCAACCTGTTTTTTTTATAGTTAAAAATAATTTAATTAATTTTTTCACATTAGATTCACGATTGGCTTATAGTCTGGCC